AGAGTTAGTTTAATTTATGATTAATGAAGTTAATTAATTTTAATTAAAATAAATTAATCATATTTATTGAGTTTGATTTGAGATGATTAGATTTATTTAGTTACCTCAATTAATGATTAGTAAATATGATTAATTAATTTTAATTAATGTTAAGTTAATTATTTAATTAGATTAATTATTTTGATTAATTAATTTTAATTTTCGATTAACTTTAATGTTGGTCAAAGTCAAAGTTATCTTTTATTTTATCTCAATTTCACCCATAAGTTTTATGATTAAGCAATTCAGTCCCAAAGTTTCAAATCTTTTTAAATCAGTCCTTCATATTTTCAAATTTAATCAAATTAGTCCCCTTAATTTTTTCTTGTGTTCATTGTGCATGCATGTCTTTGATTTTGTCCATTTTAGCCCAAAAATTTAAAAATGTCACAATTTGGTCTATCCCTTTTCAGGCTTGCCTATTAAGACTCAAACATAAACATGATGAATAAGTTGAATCAAAACCCCCAATGTTAAAGTATGCAACCGTGTTTAAACGGAGGATTGTGAGGTACGCGTATGCCCTTCCTCACTCCTAACCGAATCCCCGAACCCCGATCTCTGCACAGACTTGTTTTAAGTGACTTGTCCCACCTTATAATTTGGACGAGTGGCGACTCCCTTTTTCTTTTTATATTTTCACACTTAATTCCATTTTAAGTGGTCGTCAACACAATGCTATGACAAGCTTGTCTTAAAGGTAACTAAAATCCAGTGTACTTTATTCTATAATTGATATAGCCTGATATTTTTATTAGATAGCCCTGCCTTGAGGCAAGTGTACATGTTTGTTTGGATACAAGAGAAACATGGAAGCTAATTAAAGCTTTTGAATTTGGATAATTTAGCTGTTGATATACTAATATACTCCTGTTCATGTTTTACTTCTGAGACTTCAATTAATACCATATAATGTGTTTGCATAATCCTAGATAATGTACTAATTCTCTCTGTAACAAACTTACCTCAGATAAATGGCACAAAGTGCATTTTGGTTAGCGTGTACAATTGAAGGGAAATATGCAGTATTCTAACATGATTAAAAATCAGCATACAAATTTGTTTTTGCCTATGTAATTATTTTGATCATACAAATAATTATTTTTGACATTTAAGTGTTGGGACATGTATAACTGCTAATATCACTGAATCATTTGATTCATAGTAAAATTGCTAGAATCTTTCTGCATTTTTTTGGGCATGGATAGGGTATCAGTTTTCTCTGGCATTTGGGCTACCTTTTAGTGGTTGTGGGTGAGACTTTATGTTGTTTAAACTCATCAAAATGGGTTTTGAATTTTTCTTTTAATTTGTAGGGATAGTGTAGGGTTGAGATGGAAAGAATATTTCCTTCCTGGTTAGAATTTGATGCTCTGAGAACTGTGGTTGTCTATCTGAATTACTGCACGTCTATTTGCGATAGGCTGAGGCAAGGCACAATGTGGCCTAAGGTTGGATTGTTTTCATCATCACCGTGTCCTCCCATTTTCAAATATGTGAAAGGAAATTAATTACAAATGCCCTGCCACAATTCTTCAATGTTCTTTCTATGTTAAAAAGTCTGTGATTTGCATAATACAAACTAATAGATTATTTTATGGAATCAACATCTTAACAGAAGTTATTAAATCTTAGGCTCAGATTATTAAATTCTAGAACCATGTACTGACAGGAAGAATCAAGCATATCATGCCCAATCCATTTTGCATGAATAAATTAAATTTAACATTTGAATTCTATTGTCTCACAGATAGAAGTCATCTACAAAATTTTGAGGGATGCATGAAAGTACTTCATGCTGTAGAAGTTGTTATAAGGTGTGATAAAGTACTTAGTTGGAATTGACCAAATCCCAAGTCCTTAAACTGGATTAGGGGGGGTTAAAAGTCAGATACCTCCTAAAAAAAAAAAAAACAAAACTTGATTACAGAGGAGGTAGGTTCTCCAGGTAAATTGGAAATAAGAGGATCTCCCAAACCCAAGGCTTAGAGGTTAAATGCACTGTCTTTGAATTCTATTGCCTTGTAAATGAAAGACTCGTACAATAGTTTGCAGGATATAAGTACTTCCTGCTGCAAAATTTGTTTTAAGGCGTGATAAAGTGCTTGAAAATGTATGAAAGTTACATCAAATAATAGAACTTCTTATATTTTATTTTCTTATATCCTTAAAACACTGTCTTTAAAATACATGACAAATTTTAATACATATCACCTATCTAGTTTGTCATGTTATCTGTAAAAGAGAAAATTTGACCCAATATTAATTTCATATCAATATAAATTATGATTCTATACTACCAAAAACACGTACTAGAGAGAATATAAGTAATAGATTGCGAAACTCTTAATCAAAAAATTTAGATATTTATGTTATAAAAAATTACTTAAATAAATTTTCTTCGAACATTTCTAAATCTATTTATAATATTGATGTGAAGAATTTGGTGTCAGCGGACTGCAAAACACCAGTCATCAAATGAAAGGTCTCTCTTTTATTATTAGAAAATCTCTCTTAATATAATGGTTTGTATTTTATAGTCCAATATAATATCAAGTCTATAAAATACTGTTTTGTACTATTAATTACAATTTCATTTTCAACATCTGAGTTCAGTTATTATATATTAAGTTTTTATATCCAGTTGAACAAGAAGAATGGCATTGGAAAACAAGAAAAATATGAAAGAGCAATGAACAAAATTAGTTCCATAAATACCGTGTAAATATAAGGGCATGACGTCCTCTCGTGCTTGTTTTCTTGACTTCTTCCAACTTCACTAACCTGCACACACCATTTTTTCTTGCTTTTATTTTTCTAGTACATTGATGGTTAACTCCTTAATATAACAAAAGTTTAAATCTTTAATTTTAATTTAAAATTAAAATTTTTATATTAATAAGTGCCAACTTTTTTGATCAACGGCAATGGATTTTCCCAGTTGTTTGACCAAAATTGGTATCGTGCTGCCATTACCGTTGATCAGTCATAAGTAATTGAGGTCAATAAAGCGTGTCCATAATATGTATCTAAACGCATCCATTTGCCCAAATACAGCCGAATATATTTGGTTTTGGAATAATTTGGCTCAAATGCAACAGAACCCAGCAATAGGATTGGATATGGATGCATCCCACTTGTCAGATTTTTTCGATTCTAGCGATTGGGATGATCGAACCATTTCATGACGTGTCCCAATGAAATTGCCACATCATATGACACGCCAGAGGTGCTGATCCAGATAAGAAAGAGAGTAGATTCTAAGGGCTTCGCTTGTGTCAGGGCCGTCGCGAATCGTCAATTTAGAGAAGCCACCACTTAGGGGTGCCAATTTTGTTTCTAAACTTGATAAGTTTTGTAAGATTTTCATCGTAGGAGTAAAAATTTAAAGAAATTTTTACAAAGTAGAGATAGAGGGAATTTTTTCTTGAAAAATTTTAAGAAATTTCTTTTGTTTCATGGACCTGGACCCATAAAAATCTGTATATAATAAAAATATATAAAAATTTATTTATGTATATATATTTATTTATTTTGCAAGGTGATTAGTGAATATTAATTAGTATAATAAAAATTAAATGATAAAATATTTAAAATTATGTTGTTTTAATAAAATACTATAAGTAAAGGTTAAAACAAACCCATTCTTCATTTAAAAATTAAGATGTTTTAATTTTGTTTTTTCAGTTGGCAGTATCTACTTCTAGTTATTTCAAGGTCAGTTAAGTAATAACATGCATATTAATTTCTTAATATACTATATAAATTGGTTATATTTGATTTTATGAAATTCTTTGATACATTTTATTATATATATGAGACTTAAAAAAAAAATCCATATTCTAATTAATATTTTTGAAAATCAACTGTTAATTTAAAAGTTTTATTCACATAAATCATGAATATCAATTTTTATATTAATATAATACTCATAACCCTTTAACCAAAGAAACTATATTTACTAATATATATTTAATGATATTAAATTTTTTATAATTAACGAAATGGTTTTTAAGTGGAAAGAACTCAGTTTCCCTTATCAATGGAGAAACAGATACTGCAAGAACTTCCCTCCTTATAGGGTCTAACCTATTAGTCAGAATCCAATATGGCTTATAGATATTAAGCGGTTTAGTACAAAAAAAATCAACGAAGTGGTTAGACTTATTAGAATATTTTAAAAATTAGTATGTATAGTTTATATAAATAAACTTTCAATCCAATTATTGGTTTTTAAAAATGTAAATTAAAAAAAATAAGTTTTTAGATATGTCTTCTAAAAATTTTTAAAAAAATTAAGAGGAAAGCGAGCAAAATATTTTTTCTATATATATATATATGAGTATTTATTAACCGAATTTCAAAAAACTTTTAAAAGAAAAAATACCTTAAAACAATGTCTATTTCATTAGAGCGCCACAAAATGACCAAAGCAAGTTCATTCCTAATTTAGAAATAGGTTATTTTAGTTTTTTTTTTTAATTAAAGTTTATTAAAATAACGTAATTTCAATTTTTGACACTTTTTCCATATATGTTATTTACTTTCAATTTTCTCTGGATTAATACTCTCCCTCTCCTCCCAAATGGATTAGATCAATCTTATACTTTTTAACTAATTTGTTACATTTTGGTTTCTATTTTACATTTAAAGAAAATCTTTGAAGAAGAAAGAAAGTATATTGAAGCGTGCAGTCTGTGAAGAAGCCTTCCACCAAGCACATCCTTTTTTCGTCATTTGGAGTAAGCACTAAACATTTAAGCAAGGTGCACATTTTTTCTATCATTAACTGTTGTCTCATTCTTTGAATTTGCATGGTACATTAACAACATATTTTTTCTGTTTAATTTTAGTAGATTTAATTTTTAATTTAAGGTGTTTAGATTTAATTTTTTATTTTTTTAAAGATGTTATTTAATACATTCATTCCTATTTTAACCTTAATTTAAAAATAATAATTACAACAAAAAATGTAGTAAGAAAGTTTATTTAAGTAGTAATTAATTAAGAATAAATATGAAATTTTATTAATTAATTATTACATCTTTATTAGATAAAAAAAAGTTATGTCTATTAAAATTGAACAAAAAGAGTAATATTATTAGTCCTTTTTTTTTGACGAATTATGTGTTTAAAAAATTGTTTAATATTATGTGTTTAGGCAACATATTATTATAATTATTAAAAAATAAGAATAAAAATTTAATATCATTAAAAGAGTTAACAATTCTTGTTGTCACTGTTAAAACTTGTTTTAAACATTTTTTTTGCCACTATTAAGACTTGTTTTATA